TCTTTTTTACCCAACAGCCTAAATCTGATGCATCTTATTCTTCATAATCAGCCCTGACCAGACTATCTACATTTATTTAAACATTACAGTTCCTATTTTATATTTTGAAGGGAGGGACAGAGAGATGTTTTAAGGACTCCCTGATGCATTTTCAGCAATTATCCAGAATAATGTCGTACTTGACCAGATAAAAGTATTATTTATTATTAAAAGTATTGAGTATTATTTGAGTAGTACTCCGTGTTTCTTTTCTTTGAGTTTTGTTTCGAGTTTCTGTCTAATGTAAAACCAAAAAAACAAAAAACAGAGCGCTTCTGGCTTGACTGCTGCACAAGGAGAATCAGGCCTGATTTGAAGTTATGTGTGCAGATAAGGACTGAAAAGCTGGTGGTGTGAAATGAAAGCTTTCAGCTAATCTGAGAGGAACAAGATGTTTTCTAACAGTTTTGAGACACACAAAAGCATTTTCTAACACAGAAAATTAGTTTCTCTCTCTCTTTGCCTCTAAGTGGAAACTCAAGGATAGAAACATGGAGAGAAACAACATTTCTCTCCACCAGTTTTAAGAACAACATGACTTACTGTAATCACACTTCCCACCAAGATTCAAACTTCTCCTTTCTGAACTTTTCTGTACAGAAATGCTGCTGCAGAGGGCTACATCCAACAGTTCCTGTACACATATCGTTTCTTTTGCTCTCCTGAAGAACTGCTGCAGTTCATCATGGATAAGTTCATCAGTGCTTCAAGGTACCAAACATCCAGTAACTGTTGCCAAGAGAAAAAAGCAGCTTTTTGACATGTTGTTTTAACCAGGGAGGGGCCAGAGATGTCAGGGGACAGTGAAAGGATCTTCCATCGCAGCCTGGACCTTCTGCAGATCTGGGTGACAGACTGCAAATCAGTGGACTTCACGCCAAAGTCGAGTCTTGTGGAGACTTTAGAAACATTTCTAAATACAGAGGTACACACACACACACACACACACACCCGCTAACCCTTTCCTGCAATCTAAAGTAATTACTTTTTCCTGAGAGTTAATGTCTTACACATGTAACACTGATTGTCTTTTAACAAATGTGAACCAGATGTGTGTTATTACTTGAACAATACTCATCTAAATCCAATCTAATTAATATAAACTGTAAAGAAAATATACTTTTTGCATTCAAAGGGGATCTGGATGCCTCACATGTTGACCCAGTGTGAGGTTTGGAAGGAAATATGGCTGAATTACAGCAAAATACACACAAATAGAAACTATTATTACAAGTCAGTGTAGATAAATCATGTTAAATATCCTTTTACTTCATGGCCTTTTACTTTGTTCTCAGTATGATTTCTTTTTACTCAGGGCAAGAAGCCTGAGGCATGACCTAGAGATTATTTAAGAATTATAAAACCTGTTTGTAGTTGTAAACGCTTAAAAATAGCGGGTGTTTTTTTTTTTTACCAGTACAAACACCTTTTATTAAAATAGAGAAACATAAAAAGTGCGATTTATATAAGAACTGCCCCTGGCTGACGTTCAGTACTTTAGAGATTTTTTAAAGTTTTTACACTTTAACTTTCCACAGGTGATTCCAGTTGACAGTCAAGGTGAGGCTGTTCTCTCCGTCCTCTACAACCATCCAAACTCCGCCACGCTGAGTCAGGTTACAGGAAGTTTGATCAGCCTGAATGAAGAAGAGGACTCTGTGTGTTTGCATTCATCTTCTGAGGATCTTAGCAAGAAGGTCTGAGTTTGGCTTTTTGCTGCTTTGTTCCTTAATTTTGATTTTAACTTGAATTACAGCACAGATCCTTCACTGGCTTGGATGAACCGTACTTTAAATAGCAAATTATTTCCTGTAATCTGCACTGGAGACATAGAAAAACTGTATACTAAGTTATCTGAACATGCATACTGTTGATTGTGTGTGATTAAATGATGAAAGATAAAATGGGGCATCTTCAAAAAATAGCAGTTTGGAGTTTAATCAGTGAAGTCATCCATTCTGTAAAAAATGTCAAACATGTTGCCCTGGTTACTTCCCTCTGAACGTCTGATTCGGCTGGTGAATTGGTTGATATTTGATTAAAAAGTTGATTTAAGACACAAAAAGAAATGCAGAAAAAATATGAACTGAAAGCAGAAAAATGTAAAAAGAAACTGAAAAGATTAGTCCAAATGGTAAAGACTCAGATATTTGCTCCTACTACGGTGTATGAAGTCTATTTATCATGTCATTTATCATAAATCACTTTTAAACTATAATTGAAGAGTTCGTATTGCGTAAGCAGGAGAGAAATTGTTTTTGAAACACACCAAGCTAAATGTTATGGAGTGTCCAACACAATCCTCGGATTTTAATCCAATAAAATACTTACAGGCTGATCTAACGTTGCTGTTTTTAAGGCTTAGTTTACTAGCGTCATTTTGTACACGTATGTATTTTATCTGTGTTTATTTTATTTGTGTTTATTTTTTATCGTGAAGTACTTAAAGCACTATGTAAGTAAAATATCTGCTGCCAGAAACCTGACAGATGAGAAGCTGCTCTCATAAACAGTGAGGATACAACTAAGTATTAAATCAGATTTACAGGAAAGCTAAACTGTTTATTTAACTAGAGTATTTTTGAATACTCTAATATTTTTTTACTGTTGCTTTATCAAGAGGTTGAAAAAAATCTGTTAATTGCTTTGCGATATGGAAAAAAACTTGGGGAGAAAAAAGTATTGTAAGAAGATGGAGCTCTGTGTACATCTGTCAGCAAGCTATTCTTTCTGAACCAGCTGTATTTCTGTTATGACCCATCTCTTTAAGCACATAAATCAGTAGATTTTCTTTTTAAATCCGTATCTGAAGCAGAGCGAATCTGTGATGCTCTTATCTGGAGAAGCTTAGTGAAGATTTCTGCAGCTTTGGGAACAACGGTTCTTCTTTTTGCTCATGATGGCCTTCCACTGGTGTGTAAACTAATAGAATCGGGGGTTTATGTAACACACATCTACTGTGAACTTTACAGTGGAGGATCTCACGAGTTGTGGAGCCCTCTGCTTCCATGTCTAAAGAGAAGACCTTCTCGATTGCTGCAGCCCTGCCTGCTCCTTGCTACGACTCCCTGATGCACGATTTGTCCAACGTGTGCCTGCAGAGTGAGGAGCGACTCCCGTTCAGCCAAAAGGAGCTCAGCGCGCTGCACATAGCCCAGCAGCTGACGCTCCTGCAGCAGGTTTGGTCAGCCTCCATACAGGTTCCTCACAAGACGTTGTTGTTATCCATTTCAAACGCTAGAGGGAGATATTTCTATAACAACACTGAAAGGTGTTGATTTGTATCAACCAGATTAAGCTTCGAGTTGGAATTGTCTTTCATTGCAGGAAGTTTTCCAAGGATGTCATCCAGTTAATTTCCTGAAGTCCAGAACACAAGGAGTCAGAGACAAACTCTGCAGCCCAAACAAGTGAGTGGGAAAAACAAAAAGCTGTATTTTAAAGTCCTTTTATTTATTTTTTTCATATGAGCCTCTAGTAGTTATCTTTAGGATTATCTCTAGCAAACTCTTTTGCTGGTTGAACATTTCCTTTGGCCATTGTAGATAGAAAAACGGAAAAAAATTCTACCAAAAAACTCATCAATGTTGGGATTAATCTCAGAAAATGGCTAGAAAAAAACAAGGACATTTTCTGAGCTTCAAAAGTTTATTTTTTTTTAATGTTTGAAATTGTTAGATTAATCTCTGAAACATTCAAGAAAAAAAAATCAGTTTCTGAGCTGAAAAGTTTAAAATTTGCAAGAAAAGTCTCAGAAATATTCTAGAAAAAAACTTTGACATGTCTGTGCTTCCAAAGACAAACATTTTCAACTTCTGGAAATGTTCTGAGTTTCAGAAGTTGAACATATTATACGCCATCCTACTCTTTTGACTCTGGTGTCAGAGGTAGTTTCTGATATATTCATCTGTTTTGCCACCCAGGAACGTGTCACAGCATATTCCGCCAGCAGAGGGCAGCAGTGGGCTTGTACTAGAGGGGAGCCTGTCAGACAGCTTCCTCCAGCAGCTGCTCACATACGCTGAGAGTGTCACTAACTGGATCTCTGCAGAGATAGTCATATGTGACTCTGCAAAGGTGAGAGGAGCTGTAACCGATGAAAGTAACAGGGAAGTGTGTTAGAAGTGTGTGGTGGTTTCAGTGTCGTTTCTGGTGTCAGGAGCAAAGAGAGAAATCTCAAACCTGGAAGATTTCTGAAGGAAATCACTTCACAGGCTGACAAGTCACTGATACTGTTCAACATCTTCTGACAAGAACTATACTTTACATGCTGACATCCTCCTAAATTACCCCGACAGTTCAGCTGGTTCCACTGAAGCCAAGTTAGTCTGAAGAGTTTCAAGGTGCATATCTGCTAATATCCATTTATTTGATTTGACAGAAACGTATTCAAGATGAGATTTAATATTACGATTTCAACATATATTGTTTTTGCATTTCTCCTTCTATAGTGACTCACAAAAAGAAGAGTTCCTCTTGATCTTTTCCCACATTTGACACATTAGCATCAAAATCCTGTTTATTTTTGTTAGATTTTATGTAACAGACAAACACAAAGTTGTGTATAAAAATGAAGTAGAAGGGAAATAAATCCATTCAGCCATCTTCCATTCATTGTTGTCCTTCAGCGGTCATTGAGGCGGCAACACCCTGGACGGGTTGCCAAACCATGACATGGCAACACACAAACACAGAGGACAAACAGCCACCTGAGGAAACGTAGAGAGACCAAATAACAGCTCTGATTCTGGACTGTGGGAGGAAACCCACGCATGTTCATGGAGAACATGTAAGCTCCATGCAGAAAGACCTTCTTGCTGCAAGGCAACAGTCCTATCAACTGTGGAGGACCAAGGCATGGGTCAAGGATAAAGTTAGGTTGCAGAGCAACATCCCATCCTTTGAACACTTTCCATCATCCAAAAGGGAAAGAGTGTAAAACTGCTTGCAAACCTTTACAGACATGGTTATCCACCTAAACCACCCAGTCAGGGAGAACAATACTTAAGCATTACAACAATGAAAAAGTTTAAATCCAAACATGTTCAAGTGTCGATTCATAACAAATGTTGTCCCACATCAATTAATAAACAGAAATATAGTTAATTCAATCTAATTGTCATTTCCAATTTGATCCTAGTTATAAGACAATGCATCGATCCGTCATTCGGATGATTTCTGTCTGAGGAAACCCAGCCGATGCATCAAGACACTGACTTGCAGCAATCCTTTACTCGGAGCATGCAAAAGAAACCTCCAGCAGAACCTGGCTCAGTGAGAAAGAGAAAAGGAAATTATTGGCAGCAATAGTTCAGCTGATGGCCCCCTCCAGACATCCAGGGCCAAGTGTGTCTACCATGAAGAGAAAAATACAGTGAGAGCATAAAGTTAATGGCTGCAGTAACTCCAGATAATGCATGAGTGTCTGAGAGGATTTGAGAGTTGTGGTTTTGCTTCTGTAGCTACAGAGAATATAAATTTACACCACAGTTTTCATTAGTTATTTTTGAAAAACTGTGTGTCATATTCCATGGCATGAAATCCTCCTAAACTACACTGGTGTTTACAGTGGTAATGTGACAAAACGTGGATTTATTTTCCAAATTTGTTTTTTTTTTTTTTTTTTTTTTTTCCCAACCCCCCTTGCTTTTTTCCAGCCCCAAGCTGCCTTGCTGACCAGGTATCTATGGATTGGAAAGTATTGCTATGAAATGAGGAACTTTGCTACAGCCATGCAGGTTCTCGGAGGTCTGGAGAATATGACTGTCAGGCAATTACCAGTAAGGCTTCACTCTTACAAACTTCTAACTTTGTCTAATAAGCCTGCTGCCCTCGAGCTAAGCATTTTTTTTTCTGCTGTGATTGAGCTTGGATGGTATTTAATTAGTTTCACAAATGAGAAATTAGCATTAATGAATTCAAATAAGATGTAGACAGAGTGAGCTCAGAGAGGGGAAATGTAGGTATGAAAAGTAATTAAAAAATCTCACAATGAAAACACAGCAATGCTGAAATAATGAAGCAAATTTCCATATTTTTTCTAAAAGAAATTAGGTTCCCTGACAACAACTGGTATTATAACAGCATTAACTCTACAATAGACCAAAATGCTCTTAAGACAGAAACATTAAAACTACTCCCTTTGCTGCTAAAACAATCTAATATTTTCACAATATACATATATGCATAAAACCTAAATGAACCTGTTAATACCTGAATACAAGTCTTGAGTTTCACTCATTTTCTTTCCATTTCCATATTTTGTTTCAAAATAGACAAATTAGTCTGTCTTGTAAGTGAAGAAAAAGTACTGTAACCTTCTTTCAGCCAGCTGACAGTAAGTGTGCTGCAAATTATGGAGGATGTTGTTACTGTGCTCTCACCAGATATAAAAAAACTCTTAACTCCTAGACCTTCTCTGGCATTTAATTCAAAGTACTTTAAATCACTGCAATGTCATGTTAAAGCTTTAGTTTACCCTAATAACAGAAACCAGCACATATCTTGTGTGAAGTGTTTGGTATAATATACTTTTACATTAGTGATGCTCTAAAGAGTAACATCCACTTGTTGCTGGCAGGCTTGGAAACACCTGGCTTCCAAAGTCTATGAGATCCTGGAGGAGCTGCGAGCCGTTCAGGTAATGTGTAAATCTGAGAAAGTTTAGGGTCTGAGTCGCTGCAAGACAATAAAGACACAGGAACAAACCCCTTTGAGCAGGAGAGTTTCAGAGTTTACAGCGCATCCAGAATACCACAGTTTCTAAAAGATCCAACACTGTCCTGTTTGTCAGTCCTGAATCTGTTCTACGTTAAACTGCAGGTGTTTCTGAAGAGCGATGACCTGTGTCTGATTGGAGCAGAGCAGAAGAGGACGAGGCCCACACTGCCGTCCGTTCACATCCTGGCTATGCATGTACAGCAGCTGGAGATCGGTGCATTCACACTAACCACTGGGGCTTATAAGTGGACCAAACTCAGGTGCGCTTTGGATGCAGAAAAATGTCATCTACACAGAAACTCAAAGGTTTTTCAGTTCTATTCAGGCAAGATTGGGCTGTTTAGTGTTTACCGGTTTAGTGGTTCAATAAAAAAATGGAAACAACGGGAAAAAAACACATGATTAGGTCACTCAATGTCAAAAACCGGAATTGGAAACTTGCACAAAAACCCAAGAGCTTCATCTTAGACTCAATAAGCTTCAGTTGGATGTTAAAGGTCATGATGGAATTATGAACCAGTTTTTCCTTCCACTAAACTTTTCAATAGTAGGCTTGAATACAGCCCTCTCTGAACAGCATTGACCTTTTGTGACCTAGTCTTTTTAATTTTTAAATTAAAGTTAAATAAACATTTCAATGATTTCATTATCTAATCTAACTTACTGAGATATAATTAGGAAAATACTAAAAAAATAAAATTTGTTTGGAAAAAGTCTCTGCTCTCTAAAGAACAATGTTGCATCAGAATTTAGGTTTGCAAAATTCCTTCTGAATAAAATGCAAGACTTTTGTACAATGTAGAGATTTATGGCCTTCAGCATGTTTGTAAAACAACTAAACGGGATTTCAGCGCGGCATTTGTACTTAGCATTATAGAGTTAAACATGAGGAACTTTGTGATCAGCAGGACAACTGTCCCAAACACAGGAGCAAAAAACAGACATAACTAACCTAATTTTAAACTCTAAACATCTCTAAACGAGATGTTGACTTCTTACAAAGCTTAGGAGAGTTATTGTTATTATGAATAAAATTAAATGCGTAGCTATATTTCAGTAAGTTAGATTAGATAATGAAATCATTGAAAAGTTTATTTAATTTTAATTTAAAAATTCAAAAGACTAGGTCACAAAAGGTCAATACTGTTCGGAGAGTGCTGTATTCAAGCCTATTATTGAAAAGTTTAGTGAAAGGAAAAACTGTGGCAAAAAATGTTTCACAAGCAATAGATATATCAGATTAAAGTTGATTATTTTCATTTAGGCCTCATAATGAAGAAATAAAATCCAAGTTGCTTGAGGTCCTGTATAGAAATATTCCATTCAGTGATGATTTGGGGAATCAGGTCATCTGCTGGTTTTGGCTTCCTTAAAACCTGAGCAGAGGCGCAGGCTGAACGGCTCCATGCCACGTTGCAGAAATTCATGCAAAAGGAGCACAAACCAAGTACTGGATGCACATACTGTCCATACTGCTGCCTGTTATTTGTGTATTAAAAATCCAATTTTATTTATCTTATGCAATATTATAATGTTCCGACCCCACTGAGGGACAAGGGTGTAAAGAAAATGGATGGATGGATGGATGGATGGATGGAATATTATAATGTTCTGAGAAACTTTAATTTGGGTTTCCATTAGCTATAAACCTAAATCTTAAAAATATACCAAAAAATGTGTCGGTCTGTACGTACAAATTTAACATTTTGAATAAAATTCCTGACATAACATATGTGTGACAACAGTAAACATATTTCATATGGCCGCCTGTCTGTGAGTTGTGTTACATATGTAGAAACTATAAGGCTCAAGTTTTATGTTCATGCTCTGCATTAGCAGCTGATACAGTCCAGAAACACTAAATGTAGATGATGGCACTAAAGTGGGAAAATTATCCAACCTGCTGTGAGATTTCTGCTTAAACTTGCACAACGTCCGGTTGCTATGTAACATGTATCCAGTCGGAAAACTAATCCTCTTATATCACCGCAGTGGCACAAAATGTGAACAGTTAGTATCATTACATGAGAACTGGCCTTCCCTCCCTCTTTTTCTGCAAATCAGTTTATGACAAAGTCGGCCAACTCACAAAAAGGACATATTTTCCTGTGTCCTTCTTCTCCACTCCAATATGGCTGACCAGATGCTGAGGTCAGAACAAGTGGGGCTGGGATGGCGACGGCACAGCTGTTGAATCTGGGTAGTTTGTTGGGGTGCCAGTGTTGCTGCAGATGGCGCCTGTGGGAGGAGGGGTTGATTGGAAAAAGGTTTGTGGCCAGATGCTGAGAGGTGACCGTGTGTAGCCAGATGATGAAGTCGGGAGAAAAAACAGCTGGTTACCATAGATTCTGGGTTTTTCCAGCTCGCTCCAAAAAAATCAGGTCAAATCTGATGAGATTAAGAAGAAGAAAAGCAGATAGAAAATGTATCTCCTATGTGCTTGTTTCTTGCTTTCTGCGTTTCTTTAAACTTCTCTTTGGTTCTTGTGGTTTCAGGAACATCGCAAAGGTTGTGAGTCAGGTCCATGCCTTCCAGGAGGTTGTGTACCCGTACAGCCCAGACCAGGACCTTCAGGCCTACCTGCGCCGCCGGATCGCCCGGTTCGCCACCACGGACATCCACCTGCTGGCCGCTGACAGCGATGCCAACTTTCAACGGTCCAGCGAGCGTCAGACACGGAGGATCCACGACACGCTGAGGAGGGTGAAAGCTACTTTCCAGTGAAGCCTGCTTTGCCTCATTTTAGAGATGAACTTCAAATCCAGGACATTGCCCTGCGTCCAGACTTATTACGCTGCAGTGCTGTGGAAAAGTATTTGCTCCCTTACAGACATCTTCTGTTTTTGCTTCCTTGTCTCAGTCACATGTTTCAGATGATCAAACAAATTCAAATGTCAGACAGAATTATCTGAAATACCAAAAACTGCTTTTTAATTGTCTAATTAATTGTCCCATGTATTATTTAAATAGAACCAGTGTGACAGCATGAAGTAGGCTGAAATATCTCTAAAACCAATGCAGCATGCCCTGAGCCAAAGAAATTTGAGATAACAAGCAAAATTGCTGAAATCAAGAGTTGCCTTTTATCTCATCCATCCAAAAGTTATCAGACAACAGCATTTAAAGTGCTTGACTTTTAAATATGTTTCCACTGAAATACAGTGACTGTAAAGTGTGACACAGAGAGGTTGAACTGAAAAAAGTGGATAATGTACAATGTGAATCCTTCATCTAGATCCGACTAGATGAAGGAAGATGTGACTGTACAACATCATAATATAAGCTGTTTATATCTATTGATTCAATTACTTAACAGTATTTCTTGCAATTGTAAAACATTGCGTTTTGTGTTAAATATTGCTTATGGATAAAAATTAATTAATTAATTTTCATAAATCGCAGTGCCTATAACGAATAATGAAGAAATTTGAAGTAGTTCAGATCTAAATCTGTCGGGATGTAAACAGACTGTTCCTGCTCAAACTAAATTATATCAGTTTTGTAACCAAGAGCTGGATAAAATTCCTCTGCAGTTTTCATGTTTCAAAATTCCTTGATGGAAGTTGTGGCCAAAGGTGCTGCAACCAGTTATAGGGTTTAGAGGCATTAACATTTCAGTTTGAATAGATTTTTGTCCCTAGTAAATTAAATAATCATTTAAAAAGATGCATTTTGAAAGTATTTTTGCTTATCTTTGTCTGATATTATTACTTTTCTGAAACTTTTAGTTATGGTGGAAAAGCAAAAACAGAAGAAATTTGTAAATAAAGTTCAAGGCAAACTTAAATCAAAACTCAAACTCGTCATATTTTTTAAATTCATTTTGATTTATGTTTTTGTTTGTTTTCAGGTTGATTTGTTGCTGGGATCAGATCCCAGCCTGGCGTCTTTTTGCATGTTCTCCTGTGCAGGCTTGTTGTTCTCTCCAGGTACTCCTGCTTCCATCCACAGTCCACATAATTATTAGTGTTATTGGTTTCTGTAAATTGATATTAGGTAGGTGTGTGTCCTCATAATCAGTACAGAGTTACCACCCACCCTGTGACCCTGCAAGGATAAGTGAGGATAGATGACGGATGGATATATTTTTTGTTTGCATTTTGTTCCTTCAACAAACTTAAACAATGTTTTTTTGTGATGATTTTTTAGCTGATGCATATTTTTTGTATAGTGTATTTAATTTGTTTGGTATGTTTTCTCTAATCTATAATTGTTTGTGGCCTGAACATGTGAAATGCATGTCCATCGAAATGATATAGGTGCCTAAAAATCACAACTTGCACATGCAGTAATGTAACAACGTGATTCTTTGCTTGGGACTGACTCAGCTAAAGCACAATTTCAGCAGCTGTGTTTCTATGTTATACATTTATGAGCTTTAGATGGAAATGTTATTTTTTTTCAGCAGTCTTTCACATTTTCCACAGTAAATTATCTGTTGAGCTACTTAACATTAAAACTGTTTTGTGCAATGATGTATACAGTAATGCATGACTTTTTGCTATTTTATTTCAGTGCAAGTTTTAAATGAATCACATTCTGTTGTTTCATGTGGGTCAACATGCATTCATATTATAATCTGGATAAGCTGCAAGGTTTTCAATCATACATTAATTTTCTGTGTAATGAATTCTGTGTAGTTTTACTCATCCAACTGTTTTGTGGCAGATTTTCTAACTTCTGGTTTTGAAAGTTTGACGTGCTACTGCAGATTTTTGCTGATTAAATATTCTCTTAACATTTGTAATTCACATCATTCTAATATTTTTCTTGCCTTCATGCCAAGGGCAGTCAGTAAGGAGTTTTACCATCACTTAAATAAAACACATGATTATCATGGCTTTGAGATTTTAAGTTGTCTTAAGCATCTTATATCAGCATGCTTAACTGTGAAGTTCAGTGTTTGTGTGTAGTAAGACGATTAATTGTGAGACTCCCAAAAGAATGCTAATGTTTCCAAATAATGTAGGTTCCCAAAGCGTCAGAGGTTAAAAGCTAAAAACGAACAGCAAATTTACTGTAACGCATTCAACGTTCCTGTATGCCTGAAGAAACAGTCGACATGTTTTCATTAAAAAAAACTTTCAATTTGAATAACTTTTTATAACTTCTGTGAAAAAAGATAACTTTAAGCCTTATTCCCTCAGTATACCACACAAACTCCACACTGAAGAATGTTGCTGTTAGCCTGATGTGGTCTTATGATGTGGTCTTTGACTGGACCAAAAATGATTGTATTTTTGAATTTTATAATTCATGCAGTTGTTACACCAAAGTGTGGGACTTTCTGGGTATTGTGACTCCAGAGGGCGCTGTTGCTCATGTATGCCTTAACTTACTTTTCAAGCCCCACTGACAGTCACTGGGCTAAAAACAGATGATGCTGTTTTTTTTTTTACCTCTATCTGAAAGTGTGAAAAAACATCAAAAATGTTTAAGTTATAAAATAAAACAGATACTGTTCTGACCTTTTAGACTTTAAAATGGACTGTTGGCATGTAAAGGTTCCCAGATTTGCAGATTGTTACAATTCTGATGGACATTGTCAGAAAAGATAGAAATAATCTGAGTTAACATAAGAAGTGCTTCTGGTCAGATCAGTGGTAAAATGTTTTGTAGACATGGGAAGTCACATGATGTGATTTGATGTTCAAACCGTTTTCTTCAGTATACAGTTTTTCTCATTTCCTGATAAGAGCTTTCAAAGCATGTTATTGGCTANATTTTATTAAAGTCTCATGAAGAATTGTTGGCCCAATTATATAGGAGTTGAAAATCACTAGCAAAATGGCGAGTTCATTTTATGATTGTCATGTTAGCATGCTGGTATCTGTTAGTACAGGGGTCGGCAACCCGCCCTAGAGCCTCATGCGGCTCTTTAGCGCTGCCCTAGTGGCTCTCTGGAGCATTTTCAAAAATGTTTGAAAATGGAAAAAGATGGGGGTGGGAAATATATTTTATGTTTTAATATGGTTTCTGTAGGACAAACATGACACAATCATTCTTAACGTTTTCCAGTGCAATAGAAATGTGTAGAATGGGGTGCTGTGGTGGCGCAGGGGTTAAGCACAACCCACATATGGCAGACTCAGTCCTCAACATGGCCTTCGCAGGTTTGATTCCCAGCCTGGTGACCCCCACCGCATGTTCCCCCCGCCCCCATTACCTGCCTCCCTGCCAATTTGCTATCAAATAAAGACCACTAGAGCCAAATAGAAATGTGAATACATATTAAATTTCGACATTTCTGTCAAAGAAGATTTGCATCATAGCCTGCAACATGTTTCTTTCACCTGGGCTAGCAAAAAAACCGACAAGTGTGTGGTGGGCCATGGACAGCAAAGAGGAAAATAGCCGAGGAGAGATTCTACAATTCTTGGAGCGAATCAGGATTACCTGAATGCTTGCTCTGTAGCAGCTATTACGGTACAAAAAGAGTACCGTACTTTCCGGACTATAGAGCGCACTTCACTGTATAAAGGCCCCAATATACTTCAGTCCGCGGAGGTCTGTGGGGACTCGAAGCAGACGTCCGCCGGACATGTCTGTGCAAGGATAGATTTTTATGACCACGTACGCGTACTCGGTGTCGCACAGTGCAGTGAAAAACAGTGAAACAGTTTTCACATCGAACTGGTTTTCATGTGACACCGGGCTGATAAGGTTGATAACTATAACTTTACTAATATAACCCAGGGTTATATGAGTTCATATTGTTTCAATATTGAGATCAACATGATAAAAGTCAACATAAAGTTGCCACGGGTACGTGATAGACACGTAAGCGAAAATACTTCAGCAACAGGCTTTATATATTCAAGCAAATATTGACATGGTCAATTATGCAGAATTATGAGAACAAAAAACAAGACATCATCCCAAACTTCTTCATCAGCAGTGGAGCAGAAAGGTGGTCTGACTTTTTTTTTTTTTTTCTCCCAACAACGGCAAGGAATAATGATCGGGTGTGTGCTCATTTTCGATTGGTGCACAAATTATTACACCGATCACAATTGTGCTTTCGGAACATAATAAACAGAGCTTATTGAATGGATCCCTGATTTCAGTTAAAGCCAGCGCAGCCTCCTGCTGCTCCTCTGCACGCAGTAGGAAGCTGCGCTGCTGCGGCTCACTGTCTGCCGGATGAACCGACATGTCACTGCCTTTCTCTGTCCCGCACTGAGAGGTGAGTTAAAGCTTCTCAGATGGAGAAGAAACGGAGCTAGGCACCCAAATAGTTAATCAAACTTGCTAGTTCTCATTAAGATTGTGTGAAATAAAGGAATTTGTCACGAGAGAATTTCAGGTAATCAGTACGCTCGAGTGTGAAGACCCAACCGTCCACGGACAGTACGCCCGAGTATATTGGGTCCATAAGCCGCACCTAAAACATTTATTTATTTATTTATTTTTAGAAAAAAAAACTGGAAACGTACGCATGGTTCAAAGCGTGGGGGAAAAGTGTGGTTCAAAGGAACCGGGTCGGAAGTTCTAATGCAAAAATGGTCAGCCCTACTTTGAACCCGTGCCGTTCCGTGCCGGGCCCTGCAGTGCGAAAAGGGCTTTATAGTCCGAAAAAGACATTTCCAGGGAAGGCGCTACATTAGCTGCCGCATCAAGATTAAAGTTACATCCAGGGGTGAAAGTAGGCGGGTACGGTCAGGTACCCCTAAAAGATTTAGCGGGGTACGCGGCACCTGCAAAAGAGGGGGCGGGCTGTCTGCGGTAAAAAACAAATCAATGGGTTCACTGTGCAGCCGAGAGGCCGGCCACTAATCAGCCGTGACTGATTAGTTTTTCAAGAACAATCTAAAACATGACTTAATCAGTTAATAAATAGCTTTTTTTTCCAATTTCATATTGTTCTGAACTGTTTGTGCTTTGCTAAAGCACAAACAGTTATGTGTTTGCGATATGCGACTTTCCGCG